AACACCTTTTAAAAAATAATCATCAGTTCCATAAAAATGTGCTTTTTTAAAAGATAGGATCAGATTTAAACACACCGAGTGTAAATTTGAAGCTCTCTGTGGTATAAAACCATGGCAACCATTGCCAACCAACAAGAAATATCATAATTTGTCCTTGGTATATGTTTAATTTCAAGGCTCTTTTCTCTATCATTTGGTCGCATTTCAATCTATAATTGTTTTTATTTTTACGTGTATGACTTTATAAAATACAGTGAATATTTTTTTTTACCTTTGAATACTTTGTTTCCATAGTAACATATGTAATAGTTGAATTACTAAACATGTTTATCATGCATTTAAGACATCAGGCCTAAACTTTTGGAAAAAGCATTGCCAAATTTTTGCTTTTCCGCAAATGTTGACTATGGGGCTCTAAATATGTTAAAAAATTCCTTTTTCAAACTTTAAAGACATGTTGCAAGATAACCGTAACACATACTGGGTAGCAACCAATTTTTGCCTGATTTTAGTTTAGGGTATTAAAGACTTTTATCATGGAGAGTTTGGAGAAATTCTGAGACTATGCGTGCCACAGCTCCTATTTAAAATTTCAAGTCATTACAGAGAATGGCTCTTAAAAGCATCTCGAAATATTGAGAACTGAAACTTTCACATGTTAAGGGGAGCAATTGTCGTACATCTACTAACACATAAAGTTTTTTTTTTTTTTTCAGTACTTCCAGTGTAAAATAGAAGTACATACAGTGTATTTCTCTCATAGTTCTTAAACTCTGGCACGTATATGATCATGGATTTTTCTTGAAATTTCATTGCTTAAGTAGACCTTCACAATGCAAACTAAAACAGTGACTATTTAGTTGCTACGGTTACTGTTTCCATGGAAAACGGATCTAAATGTGAAAAAGTACTCAGCTATTGTGACCCATCATATTGGAACAAACAACGTAAATAACCACAAATGTGTTAATTACAATGTCTAATGTTTCAGATAATAAAAAAAGAAACTATGGGGAAGGTTGTTATCTTGAATTTAAGAGAAATCCAGGTTTTTTAGTTCCATGGTATTATTTGAAAGAATAAATGGAACAAAAGACTAATAACTTCTATTAACCCTGGAGAGATATCAAAATTTTAACAATTTGCTTACATATGTACGTATCTTGGTCACCTTGGTAACAGGCTTTTGCATGATTTTTGCATTTGAAAAAATCAGAAACATCTACTGGTATCGGATTCCGATAAACTCAAAGATTATCAGAATCTGCTTATTTGATATGATAACACGTGCATATGATAATGCTTTGTAAAATAAAAGTTAATTTAAAATCCATCGGGATGATATTTCAGTTATTCAATCGAATCATGCCATTTTAATATTATTTACCTCGGGCTGATATGACATATGATATGGATTTTTAGTATGTAATATTCTCTATGAATTTAAAAGAAAATAAAATTAAAAAAAGACTTACTATAATATATCCTTTATGTCAGGTATCGTCTTACCTATTTAGTATCCAAGCGCCATGCATTAGACTTTATATAGTATCCTGTGTCACCATAGCTTCATAACAGAACACACAAAACAAAATAATGATAATAATAATCATGTATGATAATAACCAAGAACACATTACTATTAATCAATCCATGTTTTTATGTCTGATGTTTTTTCCCTGTATTTTCTGTATTAAATTTTGTATTTGAATGAAAAAAGGTGAGAATAACGAACAGCAGTCTAATTTTTAAATTCTTTAAACATATCGACTTTTTAAAATGCCAGTAACGACCACATAACATGGCAATATATTGCTTGTACTCAACAAACCTATTACAGATAAACGAATGCATCATGGAACATTTAATAGGTGCATGTAACCATAATAAAGAATTTTTTAACTGAGTTAGAACAAAGACAAGAGTCTTACATTGTATAAACGAGCGACGCCTTAAGTTCTTTTCTTTACATAACATGGGCGAAGTGTTCTTGCATATATAACTTGAAATAAGATCAAATTAAACATTTTAATCTAAACTAAAATTTTACACTTCTAAGTATGAGCATGTACTTGAAAAATGCATGAAATTGTGCATTAATTTATTTTTGCAAAAAGGAAATAAGTCATAGACACCTAAGTATCAATTGCTGTACTAAGAAAACCCTAACTACGCCCAAAAATCAGTATCTTGTAATATAATATATCTGGGTCCGCCTCTTTATGAACTTGTCAAAGTTCTATTCACTGTGTACTAGTGATAAGAGGTGTGTCGCGGTACATATTGTCCTCCTGTAGATGTTGTCGCTTTGTACATATTGTCGTTAATGACAATTTGCACTTTCCTTGACTGCACATATTTTTGCCCATCAACACATATTGTCGCCGGTTGAAAAAGTACATGCACATGTACATGTCAGTCAAATAGACAAACAAATAAACAGAAAAATAATCAATCAAATTTATAAAGTTACACTTTATTTTATTTAATCGAAACATATCGATCAAAAAAAAACTTTATCCTATATAGATCGCGTTAGATGCATTCTTTTATGTAGTCTTCGGAGACAAGGTCTTCCAACAAAATGCTGGAATTCCGTGGGCACTAAATGTGCTCTTTTATTTGCCGACCTGATTTTATATTCCCATGAAGCAGGGTGTATTCAAACACTTCTACATGAGAAGAGGAAAGCTCTTGCTGTGGCCTTCAATGTGACATTTAGATATATCGACGACGTATTATCTATTTAATTTAACAATAGTTACTTCCATTCATGATCATATGTCGACTCGATATATCCCAGTGAACTTGAAATAAAAGACACCACAGCGTCTATCTTTGGATGTATTACTGACTATAGACGACAAAGACAAACTAACAACTAAATTATATGACATATGAGATGACTTCAGCTTTTCAATCGTCAACTTTCCTTACTTACATGTATGTAGTAATATTCCACTATGATCTGCAGATGGTGTTTACATCTCCCAATTTATTCGATACTCACGAGCATGCTCCAAGTACGATCAGTTTTTAAACCGAGGCAGGCTACTGACAGATAAGTTGATGATTGATACAGGGATTTTAAGAACCTCGTTTAAAGTCAGCATTTCGTAAATTCTGTGTTCGTCATAATGACCTTATTAGCAAATATAACCTGTCATTGGTTCATATTTTGGCTAACGTGTTTCATAACAATTGTTAGGCCTTTTGTTTTTGACTGAATTTGATTACGGAGTTTCCGTCTATCTGATCTGTACATAGGGCTGACGGCGGGTGTTACCGGTCAACAAGGGATGCTTACTCCTCCTAGGCACCTGATTCCACCTCTGGAATTTCCTGGGGTCCTTTTTTATGCCATCTTCAAATATTTGTATTTTTTGTAGATTTTTGAGATCGATCACCGTTCATTATCTTCACATTTCTCACTAGAAATTTTATGTTTTGAATTATAAGCACAGGCACTTGTTTCTGTAATAATTTATTTTTAACCCATAGTATAATAATAACACGTGTTAATAGTTTACTTTGTGTTAAAAAAAATATTATCGAAACAAGTGCCTGTGATTACAAGCACTAATAAATCATTAGGTCTGATCGAGGTTATATTTTTGCGATAGGAAAAATAATTATATGTAACGTCAATTGCCTGTGAACAGGCAGTAAGATTTAACACGGAAGTAGAGCAAATGATTATTGTAGAATTCCACTCACTGAAGATGCTTGAGTTGAATGCAATTAAAAAGGAGGAATCTATATTGGGTTTATCATGCTAAAAAACAGAAGGCTTTTTTTAGGCTCTATAAATAACCATTTCAAGAACTTCCCTGTGTTTTACCGTGTAGTTATTTAGAACCGATACCTTTTGTTGTAGGCGGACTTGTATATATCGGTTGGCACTAGCATGTCTGCAAGCTTATAGAATAGGGAAAACTCAGATATTAATAGATAGACTCAACATATATACATGTCACTCCATACCAGGCCCCACCTAACTGTCAGGCTAAGGATTGACAACCTTTCAAAATATATCGCAAGAATTTTACGTATGTAAATTAACAAACAAAATGGAATGCAAGTATTACAAAGCAAGGTAATTTAAATATAAACTTAACATTGAATTCACATAACCTAAAACAATACACTGTGCTTATTTATATACTGAAAGTACAGGGGTTTCCTATTTAACCTTCTTCATTTGTCACGTTGTGTTAAGTGAAAGTGAGGTGTATTTTCAATATCCAAAAAAGGGGGGGCTGAAATAGGTCAACTGCCCCTCCCCCTTTTCAAACATTGAAACCAATTATGGTTCCTTCAGTACTGACAAAGTCTTACGCAAAATTTCAAATTACCGTAGTAATCGCTATAAAAGAATTCTTGTGGGCAAAATTATTGATATATCAGTGTCACCGATTTTAAACGATAGCTATGAATATATTCTTATCAGCTGAGTTTTGAAATTTTTAACAGTGAATCAACACCAAAAATTTCAAATATGGTAACAATAACATAATACAATGCATGCTATATCAGTCTTAATATCCTGAGTCATCCACGTTTGTCCTGAAACTTCCTTAAATTCTTTTTTTATAGCAAATACTTTTTATTATCATTTTTATATTTAGATATTGTATTAATATTAAACCCATTTCCAGGAAGAAAAATAAAAACATTTTCATACTGTTGATTTTTTTTTTTAATTTTAATAACAGATTTACACGTATTTAACAATATTCCATTAAAAAAGATACAGCAAAGTAATGCACTTTAAATTTCCCAATTATTTGTCAACCTTACTGTCAGACAAGTATAACACCACCCTCTTTAATTCATAGAATCAGATTATATTACATTACTGTATTAAAGTGATATGATACATATAAAACTTTATACTATACATACAAAAATAACACATCAGAACAAATGTGTCAGAACTTTTGGTTTTAAAACAAGTTCTTTCCACATTAAACAAGACAGAATTCAAAAAAAAAAAAAAATAGCAAACATTGAAACTTGCAAAGGCTGACATCTGGAAAGACTGGCAAAATTAATGAATAATTAAACGTAATAATCATCATTGTATCTGCACATCAAATTTCTCATCACTGATAACAGAAAATACTGAATTCTACTACACAGTTAAAGTTCCCACTCACAAAATAACGTGAATAAGGATAGGTACCTTGAAAATAAACTCATCAATATTCATGTAGCTATGTTTACAGTTTGCTTATAGAAGTCAGAGGTAATATTATTCAAATCACTCAAGCATACATCCCAAACCCATTCAAAAGAATGGCATAAACTGAATACACCAATTCATACAATTATAAGGTTGTATACAATTTTGTATGTCACATTTATCTAGAATCCATTCTGGACACAGAATAACGCCAAACATCTTTCTTATCTTTCACTATAGATCTTTAAGAGCTGCTAATTGTTTTTCTATATCATCATCTGTCACCCGAGACTTCGAAGTTTCCCCGAGGCCTCGACTAGGAGCAGCAGGAGCACTCACCATCTGTATAAACATATTGTTTCATTAATTCCTTTTATATCAATTCAAGTGGAGATGTCCACAAAAACAAGCATTCTGAGAGTATTGCATTAGCAATACTAGTCCCCTACTGGCAAGTGTAATCTGGTTCCGTTCCCGTTAAGAATTCAAAATGCCATAATTCCGTCAAAAATTAATGAAGCGGGACGAAATGCAAACTTGATCTATAACTAATCAAGGTAAAGCCACATACCAAAAATCAGCTGAATATCTACAAGCGTTTAGAAGAAAATTGCGGAAAACCTGTAAAAATTGAAAAGGCCGTAATTCCGTCAAAAATCAATGAAGCGGAACGAAATGCAAACTTGATCTGTAACTCATAAAGATACACTCACATACCAAAAATCAGCTCAATATCTGCAAGCGTGTAGGAAAAAAATGCGGAAAACCAAGTGGGACAGACTGACAGACAGACAGAGGGACAGACAGACAGACGGACAGACAGACGGACGGACAGACGGACGGACAGACTCAGAGGAAACCTATAGTCCCCTCCGGTTTCACCGGTAGGGGACTAACAAACAGCAAGCAAGCAAACAAAGATATGACATTTTAAATTGGTCTCAATTTGAGGAAAAGTTATACAATTACAGTCAAACCTCATTATTTTGAACTCGATGGGACCGAGAAAAAACTTCGAGATATCTGAGGGTTCGAGATATCAAGAGTAAAATACTTAAGAAATATGTGGTTAAGACTTCCAAATCACTTCGACATATCCATGATATTCGAGACATCCGTGTTCGAGATACAGAAGTCCAACTGTATCTATTGAACTTATTACAATTTTTTTCTGAAGAGGTCAAAAAATGATAATAAAGATACAAAGGTACTTTTATCATTGGCCTTTTTTTTTTAAACTTCAAAATTGGTCCCCGTGTGGCAGAGATGTAGACAATTATCTGCTAGCCTAACCAACAATTTTTAAAGTTCAGAATGTATGGACTTCATTAATACATCTATACAAGTAATACCATCAGTACAGAGAGGCTATAATGTCCGTACCTTTCCAGTGATCTCGATTCCGATCTCGTCCAAGACCTGGTTGACGACGGCGTCAGATTCCTCCTCGTCACCTGATTCTCCCAGAATGTCGTCTAACGTATCGTTAACTAAAAAATAATTAATACTCATTTACTCAAAGATATCCAATGTATGTACTTTTAGATTCTTAAAATTTTTTAGTATCAATCAAAAGGCTCGTGACAGGTGCAGCCCATATCAAATAACGATATAAATTTCTTTGTATATTTAGATATTTCGACTTTATATACCCTTAAGTAGCTATGAAGGATGCCCTATGAGTAAATAAATACATCTGACATGTCATATACACCACAAAAGTTTATAGACAAATTCAGTACCACCTATGAAAGCCTATATATGCACAGCTGTGTGATTTAATACTTGTGAAATGCCAAAATTATTCATTCGATACATGGAAACAAACATTCCTTTACCATTTTATTATGCATTTTATTGAACATTCATTACATAGTTTATAAATTTTATAGGGTTAAAATAGTGGAATGTTAATCTAGTGAATTAGATACACTAGTGTTTCCTTACTCATTTCCTCAGACATTCCCATTTTCATGTTTTCTCGCTCAAAGTCCTGCATCATCTTCGCTGTCTTCTGAGGATCCATGACTTTGTTCATCTGTTGCATTGTCTGAATCAGAGAAGACAAATTAACATCAATTTTTGCTATGAATTTATAAATCAATGTACCCAATTTAGAGCAGATTTTTTTTCTTTTGCATAATTTTGTATAATTTTTCAGATAAAATAATTTTCAGCAGTATCTTTTAAGTTTATACACTGTGTACAGGTTATCTTGGTTAAGTAAAGAAAAAATTTTCTTTCTTAATTTGATTTATAAAATTACAATTAAACACAACAAAAGTCTGCAATTTTGTGACAGAATTTACAGTTGAAGGGCAATAACTCTTTTGAAATCTGTAAAATATGATCTTTTATGACTGGTGTAAGTCTGCAAGTCTGATTACCATCACTTGAAAAAAGAAAACTGCCGTACCTTTGTTGTTGTTGCCATGGCACCAGCCATCTTCATGTTAGAGTGCATTAACTGGAATTTAAAAAAAAATAATTATAATACAAACTGCATAAAACTGCAAAATTTATTATACATGTAAATAAAAAAAATCATAAATTCTCCAGATACTTTATCCATGACAAATTAAAGTATGTCTCTAAGTAGGCTTGGACCCCATTAACAATGAACCAGTATATTACCATACCAAATTCTTTTTTCAATGATACAGTATTTTTAACAATACCTCTATCTATCAAAATACATGTAGTTGATAGAACAAAGTATCTAGTATTATTAACTATAAATTATTTTAGTTTTTATTTTTAAGCCCTTTGGTAAAAAATAAATAAACACACTAATATAAAAAAGTTAAAGGTACATATAAGCTAAAATAATAATAAAATGACTAAATTCACAATCACTAAAAAGTTTGACATAAACAGCTCTCTCTATGGTGACTTTGAAAGAGAAAGCTACAAAAAAGTACAGAGAAAATTGGAGAATGATTGATTTTATATTATAGCAATCTAGTATTGGATTAAAATTTGTTATCTTTTTATATAAAAAAAAAAGGTTAGCAATGATTGAAAATTATCAATTGAAAATTAAGACAGCTCTCTAAGTAGGGATAATTAGCATACATGTAACCTTTATTACTAGAAACGTAAAAACTGATTGTGGCTATATATATATATATATATATATATATTGATTGTGGCTATATATATATATATATATATATATATATATATATATATATATATATATATATATATATATATATATATATATATATATATATATTTTAACAGTATTTAAAGGATTCAGTTTTTTTTTCAATCAACTAGAAAGCATTAAAAATTATGAGAGAAAAAATTACATTGTAAATACCAATATTGGTACCAGCATAACATGAAACAGTATTTTACTGGAAATTTTGAAACAACTATTAAGTATGGTACAAATACTGAGTACAGGTGTCCTACCCTATCTCTAAGAAAAGTAAAGTTTACAAAACTGAAAACATTTCCAACTGTCAAGGTAAAGAAAAGTAACACTGATTACATCTCCCTTCAAGTTAACTAATCTTCCATGAAGCTTATTGAAAGAATTCATTAATGTTAACAAACTTTGCATCTCAAGAAATTGCCATTTTCTGGTTCCTGCTATCTTACCTTTTGCTGGTTCCCTATGGAGGATATTTTGGAGCCTACAGAGTAACTCTTTGTTTTTTGTTTCCTTATTGCAATTAACTGTTTAGCTAAGACTGTGGCTGCCTAATAAATAGAAACAAATAAATTACATGTAAATCAGGCAATGACATTTTTTTTCTTGCTAGAAGGTGTAAATGAATACCTATTACTTGTGTTCTTGTGTATAGTTCATGAGGCATTTAGCAAACGAGAAAGTTTAAGATTGGGGTACTTTATAAATATTACAGTTAAAGGACTATAACCCTTGAGAATCAAGTACAAAACAACTCTGCAACAAGTAATCTAGGCATGCATGCCAATTCAGATATTGGCTGTCAGAAGCCTGATCAATTTTAACATGAAACTTTTGTGCCTAAAGTTATACGCTTACTCCCTCCCCCTTTTCTAGGCATGAGGGTTGGGAGGTGTTAAGGGGAACTGACCTGTTTATTCCCTTGCTTAGCTGCCTTCTTTATTTCCATTTCCTGTAAATAAACAATAAATTTACATGATCTGAATTAAGTTTTATGTACTAAAAATTAACACAATATTTTCCCTTAATTAATATATTAAAAGAAGCACATATTATATGAGCTGATTATAACTTAAAAAGTAGTTTTAAGTGTTTTCTTGCCACAGAAGAAAACCTGTAACAGTATTTGATAAAAATTTTGTGCAGACATGCAAGACTTTCAAGACAAATTTTTGCTTACTCTACCGCAGATTGCTCATGAAACATAACTAAACTAGAAATATGTCCATAGGACATGAATGCCCCGCCGAGTGTATATTAGTAATGCAACATGAAATTTTGTATTAGTGTATGAAGTTTGATCATGTTAATGAGAATATCTTATATATAAAAATAAAAATAATACTGTTTTACAGTTTAACAGAGAATCAGATTTGACATTAATGATGAAATAAAATTCTTTAGAATATTATACAACCTAATCATAAAATTTCTTTCAGATATTTCGCTATCATTAAAAAGTATAACTAATTTACTTACAATTTTCTTTTCCTCCCTCTCGAGCTTATCTCGGTCCCTCGTGAGGTCTCTCTGGGTTTTTCTCATCGTTCTGTCATTCTCACGTAGTTGTTCTACCAAAAAAATTACAGTACACATAGGATTCTAAGAGGGATTAACAATGAAAAATTACACACTTTTAACCAATTTGTTAAAATAGAAATTGTTATCTATTCCTCATTATTCAGAACAAGATAAAAGATCCTTAATCCTTAGTTAATAGATAGTTTTCCTCTGACGTATTTTGCCTTCAAGTTATTCCCCTTGGCCACCATCTTGTAGGTCAAAGTAGTGAATTTTCCTCTTTGAGAAACCAATTTTAAACAAGTATGGCAGAAATATATGGGGAAATTAGTTTGTTGTGTCTAGTTTGTTGGGTATGCCAGGCATCAAAAACAGTTGGAAATGTGGGATTATTTGCGTAACTGGCAAAGCTGGTTATGCATAAATTATCCCATATCTCCAACTATAGTTGATCTCCCTGGCATACCCAACAAACTAGACAGTGATGATTCCTTATATTTACATTTATACATGAAATAAAAGTATAAATTTATAGAAATAAAAAATGCTGTCTTATAGATTTAAAATACATGAGGCATTCCATGTTATTCAAGTTCTGATAGTCACTAAGTCAGACACAAAGACAGCCATGAGAGATTGACATGCATATTCAGATATTAGGCACTTAACCTTTCACATGGAGAAATTTATATTCAGTTGTAATTATCAAGAAATCAACACACCTAACTTTCAAAGTTACATGTATCATAGAGAAAAGAGTTTGAAATGTAAATATTTCTAAATAAACATCATTTAATTATGTGCCATCAGATACTTCGCAAAACGTTATAAATCTTCCTGCAAAATGACAGTACTGCAGTTACCCTGAAATGGTAACTACATGTACTTGTTTTGTGGAGTTCCCCTTTATTAATAACATTTAAATGTGATCACAGATATAATTTATCAAGTATACTGTATAACTGTGTATGTGTACAAAGGTTCAATAACAAAAATTCATATAACATGAACAACTGTTAAGAGTTAAGAGTTTCATAAAAAAAGCAGGCCCTTATTAAAATAATCTAACTATATCTTGGGGCAGACAACCAGATCCCTGGAATAATGTTCATTTTTTCAGATAGAGCTATCTGTGGTACATGAAAGAAGTACAGATAATGCCTAATCTGTTAATACCTACAGTATACATGTGTACATAGTATATATACAATGTTCGTTGTAAACTTTTGACACGAGACTGAACTTCACTCAGCTGTTTAATGTTATTTCCATGTGTGATGCTGAGATTTCAGCGATCAGCATAAAGAGAACAGATGAGAAATGTTAAATCTTAATAAATAAGTCAAAGACATAAGAATCATAGAAAATATTGTGAAATCAGAAAAGCTTCCCTCCCCATTAGTCTCTTTGTCATTTATTCTTTTTACCTTGGACGGTTGGCTTCTTTTTAAACATGATGTTCGTCTTCTTCTTCGACTAAATCACACAGTGACTAGATTCTAACAGCAGGTGATGAGTAAATTCTGCAGTTTTTAGACTATTATTTCTTTTGTATACACACTCATGATCGTGACGAATATTTGTAAATACGGAAGTAAGGGTTCTGCTAATTACTGGAAATAGCCCATTCAAGGGTTCAGACTAATGTACGAAATAAATAGAAAATGTTCATTGAACTGGTAAATAGTTTTAAAACGCAAGGATGAATCTAGGAACATTGTATTTAACTTTAATTAAAATATGCATTATTAAATTAGATACATATACAGTTGACCTTTAAGCAGGATATTAATCTTACTTTCCCACTATGAAAAAGGAGCAGTTACATCATAATTATATTAAAAAAAAATAGAAAGAAAAAATAATAAGAAATTCGGGAAAAAGTCTAAATGTACTGTTTACCTCAATAATCAAACAAGCCAAAAAATTTAAAAAAAAAATATAGGACAAAAACAAAAGAGACCCCCTGATTCTAAGAAAACTTTAAAAGCCCCCCCCCCCCCCAAAAAAAAAAAAATACCAGAAATATTTATGTCTCTGCAAAAACAAATAAAACACAAAAAGAGGATGGTTATGTATTTTTTGTTACCAAAAAAAAAAATGGTTAGAAACTTGTTTTCTGTTTCATCTACATTTTTGGCTTTTTTTGGGGGGGGGGGGGGGGGGGTTAAAAAAGAAAATTTTCAAAATGATTGGTTTATAATTGCATGCACTTCTCAGGTAGGCCCAAAGTGTTGAGGAATCAGATCGAAAATTGCCTTTTCTTCACATGCAATTTATTTCCAAATGTAAATTAATTAATGGATATGCATTAATACATGTATATAGAGTTCAAAATTCCCCTGAATCTATAAATCACTTTTATCAAGTTTGTTCCAGCAAATTGTTTTGAATAGTGCTGCTTGAAAAAAAAGTATGCTTTACAACAATTCCTATTTATTGAATTCCAAACAAGACTAGGTGTGACCATGTCTAAACTTTAAAACAACATTTACTGTATGGGATGGGTTTTCTCTAGAAAGTCGATACCATTTCAGCACTACCGGTACATACATTGCTCCCAATTGCTTTTTCACTCAAGTTACATGTAGCAAAATGTTCTTACTATAAATACACCATCCAGATGAATTTGTATAAGAAATTCAACATTATAATAATTATCCTTAAGATGAATATTTACACATACAAATTATAAAATTTCTCTTTTCTCTCTCTGTTTTTTTTTTAAACAACAAAATAGATCTTCATTTCACCATCTGGTAATCATAATAATAAAAAAAACCCACAGAAACATTGATTTGTTTACTTTTATTTCCATTTTCCACATTAAGCATAATATAACAAGTGATCATTTCATGACATTCATCAACCATTTCATTTTATGATATATTTACAATGAGTTTATGACAAGTTGTTCTTGGAATGAGATGTTGCACATATCAAATAAATAAAACAATACAAAATCATTCCGAAATTCTATAAATATTGTCATTAAATCTCGGTCAAATGTATAGGAAAATATTGTAAATTGTGTATTTTCCCCCCCATGCAAATGCATTCTGATATACATTTTGTACAAGAAAAACATAAACACGTTTATGACTAATGCCTATGGCCACTGATTGTACAAAAACTAAAATAACATCGAAAAAGTTATATTTACAAAATCTTAAACTGCTACATCAAATTACCAACAAAGCTTAAAATGAACAAGTGTACATTGATTTTGTAAATGGCAGTAGTTGGTAGTGCTGTATATTTTCCACCACACTTTTGACTGACTTTCTTTACACACATTCACTTCATTTTTCTCTTGCAATATGAAAAGCAAATGAAGTGTTGCATTTGAAGTTCAAGAAAAAAATTTGTCTCTGTGCTAATATGAAAATGTTTGATAATGTATGTAAATATTTTGAAATGAAACTGTTCTAGGGCAAATGTGGCACATATTTTTGTACAGTGAATAAATGTTCAATGAGTTTTTATCAGTCAGACATTGTAAAACATAGTATTTAACATACAGTTGTGAAATACACACACACACATATATACAACCAGCTTAAACTAAATAGGATTTTCTTCATAAAGAAATAGAAATCACCTATTCATAACTGGAACTTATCACTAAATTCTTGTCAATTTGACAGCATGTAGGAAATTAATTCACCTCATCTCCTAATTATAAACTGAAGATAATTTTCTACCAATCAGTATTTAGATCAATCAGTATTTACATGTAAGAGAGCACTGAACAGCAAGCTATTGCCAATTTAAGCTTTCAAACTGCCAATAAAAATATTGAAAAGATTGTAAACGTCAAAAGAACAAACAAACAACTGATGCAGTTGCCATACATATAAAGAAAGATTTTTTTTGAATAATCTTGAATTTAATCATCTTACTACTGAAGTGCTCTCCCCATTATACAAGACACATTTATATATATTTGTTATCGATATTTCTTAGTTTGACACAATTTTTAGATTCACTTTGCTGTCACAGTATTGACTTTCACTTAAAATGCTTGAATCTTTAGACATCCTCCTAATGGTGAGTGGATGTTCAATCATCATCAGATTCATCAAAATCCGTGGAGTAATCCGAGTCAGTTTCGTCATCTTTGTCCTTGTCTTCTTCATCATCGACAAAGTCCCACTGAGGATGGTCATCGATCACCTTGGCTTCCTTCACGTCCAGCTGTTGAAAAAACATTAAACGCACTGATGAATAATGGGGATAAATGAGATAAATTGTCAAAATTTTTATTTTCCCATAAATTCTTCGTTAACAAACAAAAATCCAATGAAACTCATTTGTTTTTAATGTACTCAAAAATCATTCATCAGAATTAATATTGATCTTAAGTCATAGAGTTGGTAATTCATTCACTTTTCAAAGTGCAAATTTGCATTTTTAGCAAGACAAAATTCTGTTTCATGCATGTAAATTACAGATTTCTCATCACCATGAAGATGAAGATTAAATCAACAATTTCATGTCATACCCTGATATTCTTGGACTGATCAAAATCAACATAACAATCTGATCTTAGCACCACTGTGTAGGTATACAATCCAGGCTTGTGAGGGGCAGAGAACTTGAGTGTCATCTGAAAAAAAAAAAAAAGAATATGACTGTGAATATAATGAAGGTCAGATTATGTAAAGAGGCTCATCTGCATTGTACATTTATAACACTGTATTGGTAGTCTGGTACCCACCTCCTCTGTGTCTTTGAGTGTCAGGATCTGGACTGGGGCTGTAATCAACATGTGAGATTTCTTATCACAAACATACAACCACCATCCCTCCTGCTTCTCCTAGAAAATAATACAGAGATCAGACACATTATAATAATACTTTAAAAATATATATTTACATTTCCAATGTCTTTGTCCGAGATAAAATTACAAATTGTAAAAATACTTTATTTCTACATAAATCTACTGTTTCATCGATAGGCGCGGTTAAAAAAAAATCACGTGCGGGGCAGGACAAATAGAGACAGAAGCGGGGCTATTAGCACGGGAATTTGCAGAATCAGGAGCATGTAAATATAAGGAATAACTGTCAGATTTTTTGGATTCATGACGATGATCAATCGATTGGCTTGCGTGATAATTTTATGCATAAACGCCTTCGGCGTTTATGCAAATTATCACGCAAGCCACTCGATTGATCACATCATGAATCCAAAAAATTAGACAGTTATTCCTTAAATAAATGTTTCACAACAGGAAGGATCCTAAATGATTGAATTTTCACTCACTGAGTTGTTAAAATCCCTTTGGAGGCTTTTTCATTTGAAAAGAATCAGCACTCAATGAAACCTTCAAACCTACAGAGATCCACATACGAGAAATTGACAATGTACCTCTCTTTTGACTTGAACAATAGAAAGGATAACTTTCCTTGCACTTTTGTGACTTTTGCTAATTACAATTAAGCTCTCCGTAATACAGACAATGGAGAGTACGACTCTCCTTGACCTTTGACACTGTTGCTAATGACAACTTACCTCTCCATAATAAGGACAGTGGACAGGATGACTCTCCTTGACCTTTGACATTGTTGCTAATGGCGACTTACCTCTCCATAATATGGACAGTGGACAGGATGACTCTCCTTGACCTTGGACACTGTTGCTAAAGATGAATTGCCTCCCCGTAATATGGACAGTGGACAGGATGAATCTCCCTGACCTTTGACACTGTTGCTAATGACGACTTACCTCTCCGTAATATGGACAGTGGACAGGATGACTCTCCTTGACCTTTGTGTCCAGCTGTTGTTCTTTCTTGGCCTCCTCCTGATATTTCCTCCACTGCTCCTCGTCCTCCTCGTGTCCTCTGGAGGACTCTGACTTATCCACAGATCGGTCCTCACCATCTGAGGCATTTGTTTCCTCGTCTGTTTCTGCCCTCTCAGAGTCATTGTCATTCTCTTCTCTGTCTTCTTCGTCATCTTTCACTGCAACCTCATTACCCTGAAATAAGATACATTTCATGACTATAGGCCACTGGTATGTTTTTACAAAACCAAAATGATACTAAATTTTTTTCACCTTTATTTAACTACATCATCATCTAACTATATAAAAATTCAGTCAGATATCTTCTCTTTTTTTGTGTTCCACCTTTCCCTTGCAAACTTTTTTGTTCATTTCATGTTTTTTTTATACTCCCCCTTCTGGTAGCATATCACTTCACCTGTTTTTAGACTCCCCTTTGTCCCCCTTTTTTTTTACATTAGATATCATCTCACCTCTTTTCTGACTCCCCCTTGCCCCCTTCCAGTCATTTAATATCACAGTCACCTCACCTGTTTTTCTGACTCCCCCTTGCCCTCCTTCTTGTCGTTTGCTGTGGCGTTTGTTGCTGCGGCAGCTTTCCAGTTGTACGCCTGTTTGACCTTTTTGTTCTTTTGATTACCTCCCTTTTTCTTCGGTTGTTTTTTCTGTTTATGCCAGATAGGAGCTTTCTCTTTTGCTTCAACATTATCCTCTGTCTCATTTTCCTGCTATATTATAAAATCAGCTAAAATTGCATTCAGGTGTCAGCAGTATGAAAGAATCAATGGCTAGAGTAAATAGCAGTTCAAAACAAAGTTACATTCATTTTAAAAAGCAGAATTTTCAATGATGGCTTGAATGTCATAAGGATTGAGTTACTTTTACATTTACATCTTACTTTTACATCTTAGTGAGAATTAGTTTCCTCATTTTTATTGTTCCTTACCTGTATTTAAATTTAAATTTCTAAAACAATGTTTCTACAAATTTCAAAAAGTGGACTACTATTGTATTTCATGTATTTTTATCATTTCACATGCTGGTAGATTTTTCACAAAATAAAAAATTCTCTGAAGGAGATCTGTTTAATTGTGAGTTGTTTGAACTAAATATATCTTTGACAACCTGTGCTCTACATTTATTTAAATATACATCCGTAGAAGTTTGGGCTTTGAACTGTGGATATTGGCCTGGGTAGATCAGTGGTTAGAGCACCTGACTAGTGATACAGGGGTCCCAGATTCAGGGTCCAGCCATATATGTTCTTTATTCATTCCTCCTTTCCTGTTACACATGTATATTGACTATATAACCAATACTTTTGCTACATGATACACTGACAATGAAATTCATGACATTGCCCAAATTAAACCACAGCTACCATACCTAACACAGGACATGCTGAATTATTCCTTATGCCTACCAGTGGTAGTCCCTTCACTGACATTTGCAAATATTCCTACTGGACAAATCATTTCCTGTCCCACTCACCTGGTCTTTATTAGATTCCGTTTCCTCGTTAGCGATGGCTAGATTGTCACGTTCCTCGTCAACATGAGACAGATCCTCCTTATCAAACAACACCTCCATCATCTCCCTGGTCAGGCTAACATTTACCGTCACAATAGAGCCAGCTGTTATTGATGTATCCTCATCATCCAGAACTATAATAGGTAAATAGGCATGTAATAAGCAAACATACATGATGAGTTTACATCACAGAACATGTGCACTTGAATTCTTTGGGGGTTTTTTCTACAGTATTTACATTTATGTATACCAATTTTTTGAAGATAAATTTCATTAATCAGGACACTTCATTTACTCTGGAGCAAAAGTATCTGGATTAAAAAGGGCTGACTGTACATGTATGAGAAACAAAGGCCACACATTCACATGTAATATTACATATTTCTGTATACATGAAATACAACACAAATAGGCGAAATTAACATTTCCATCCTACACAACATCTAAAACAATTCTCCATCAATAAAATCATCATTCTGCTTTATACCTGTGGAGTGGACCTCCATCTTGACATGTGGCAGTGTGGCACACACATTAATTATGTCACGATACTCGTCAGACGTCATGTGACGTAGAAGTGAGCGTCGATCTTCCTCCTTCATCCCGATCAAGTCGCGGATTCTCTGGATGTGTCTCTACAATCATTAAATAACAAAAATAAATTGTACAATCTACACAGGAAGAGTAATCGTATCAATCTTCACCAACAGAGCCTTTCTTATGGGTTCTCTGTGGACAGTAACATTTCTGTAACATTAAGTGTTTAATAGTGCAAAACATTTTTGTGGGATTTTAGTTTCTTGCATGAAAGAACTTGAGACTGATAATTTCAAAATGTCCTTCCACATACATGTATGTGAAATTTTAAACTTAAGGTCAAGGATACAGTCACTCTTTCAAAATTTAAAAATCAGGTCTGGTGAAGAGCCATCCTAGGAGTTACCTTTCTCTTGGAAAAGTGTTTCAGCATGTCCTTTGAGGTGTATTTACCATTTTAGTGGTGAAATGTTTCAGCATGTCCTGTGTAAGCTGTGGTATTTTTTTTGCCTTTTCAGTGGTAAAGTATTTCTAATGTTTTGTTTAGGTTGTGTATTTCTTTTTACCTTTTTAGTGGTGAAGTATTTCAGAATGACCTGTGTTAGGTGATGTATTTACCTTTTTAGTGGTGAAATGTTTCAACATGTCCTGTGTTAGATGTGGTAGCTGTAACAGAGGACTAGTCCGTACGTCCACCGCCTGTATCAACATCTGTGAAAGCTTCATACAGTTCTCCACTGTTTCTAGTCGAGGCATGTACTGGACAGCTGATTTGAAATAAACATTAATGAATGAAGTTACGTTTCTGTAACATTTTGTGTAACATTATATCAATACATTTGATGTGAAATCAGAGCATACAATGTATATATGTTTATCTTTAAATGTTACTTTGGCTTCTAAAAAGATACATGTATACAGTTAGCTTTAAATACACGAAATTACTGTAAATTTCATTTACTAAATATAAGCTGATGTTATTTGTTGCCAGGTAGACGTACCGTTTCTGTGAGCTCCTGCCACCAGCTGTGCGATAACATTTATCATTTCATTGATAAGATATGGACACTTTTTCACCACATATGCTTGGTCTGGAAGAGGAAATGAAACAGGATTACTTTTAATTCAGACGGAAGTCAATAATAATAAAATGTCACTAATACATATATATATATCATGTTAAATTATTCATTGGAATTTTCCATATAAATCAACTTGAATCTGAATCCATTTAAATCTTTCAAATTTTTCTGTAGGTTATTACTGACAATGGAATTAATAACACTTCAAATCAAAATAAATGTATATAAATATTTCATATTCATATTTTTCTGATTTTTTTTTCAATAAATCAAAAATGCCCAATTTCACAATTAAAACCCTTAAATTAACACAACTGAAAATGTGCACAGAGATGAAATTCTTAATATTCAAACAATGTAGCTAAAGGGTAAAGTGTCCGTTGTGGAGGTATTACATTGGAGAAGGGATGAAGGAGAAGGACTGAGATCCACTTACCAATAGCTAGCGTGTCCGGGGGAAGGTCCAGCCTCTGGAAGTGGGCGTGTAGGAGAGCCCTGGCCTTGACACTGTAGGGATAACACAGGGGCTTCTCCTTGTTCTTCTCATCCAGGTTTGGCAAACGTTTGATCAGCTGATCAAGAAAATATTATATTTTTAGCACTTTTATTACTTTAACTCTAGTTCAGATCAATTTAAGACAAACTCATAGCAAATAAGATTTTAAATTTCACATGACATATTGATATATCTACCCTTCCATTATTATCTTTACTCTACTTGTTTATTTTTATCTAACTGATATACATATATATAATGTATAAGCATATTCATTTTTTTCTTAAAAAACCTGTATATGGTTTTCAAATTTCATCTTTCTGTCATCTTACCATAGGGACCTCCTCATTATCACTCGGTCTCTCGACAATCTCGGCATTGTGGAATTTGTCAAATTCAAAAGATCCAGCTAACACCATTATCACTCCTACATGACACAAAGACTCAGTTAACAGTCTTTTGAAGTCATTTTTTTTAATTTATTTCAGAAAGTCTTTTTCACTGTTTCAGTCCAAAGTTAGCATATGAATAAGTTTAAAAGAGCAGAGATTATAAATGAAGAATAAAAAAAAATCTAATTATGCAACTCTTGTATTTTGACTGAAATCATGGGAGAAAAACTTATATCTGTCAATAGACTGATACCTTGTACAGAAATTAATCTACAATGGTGTCATTCAAAGTGGTTTATCATTCAAGTTTTGTTTATTTTACATTTATTTAATAATGTCTTCTCATGTTAAGAATATGCTTCAACACTGAACATTATTGCCATGACTTAACAATGTGCACCATTTATGCACAGAAACTATACATGCATGCTTACTTTTAAGAATCATGTTGGGGTTTTTCTGGAAGAAATAGTAGTACAATCTGGTGGTGTCTAACAGAACCTGGTCCTTAGAGAACTTGATAGAGCGGTACCACCAAACACCCTGTAAACAAAGAAAAGGCCAGACATAATCACTTAGACTTTGATTACAATAAATGTGTGCACAAAGATGCACTGATTATTTCTTTAGTTTGATAAATACATGTAGTTGTATTTTGTTTTGAAGAGGAAAATTTCAATGCAAAAGATTTTTACTAGAAATTATGCTTCTGTTCATACAAATATTATTGAAAATCCCCTCTAAAAGCTGAAAAATTTGAAAATAAATGTATTATGCATGATAAACCAGGCAATTATATGATAAGCTGGTTACATGGCATTTTTTTTTCAAACCAATCCTTTGTGAAGATAGTGTGACTGTGATTATTTTCTACTGAGTACTCACCACAACAACAGGCAGGAGAACCATGAATAGCAGACCATAAACCAACAGGACCTACAGGAATAGAACAGCATCAGCATTACAGATATTATCAACTATATAAAGGACCTTCACTCTTAACAAAATTTTCTTAAAATCATTTTTTATTTTTAAAATCATTTTCTTTTTAATTCTGTATTAAACAACATCTTTCTGACACAGCAAAAAGTGATAAATGCATGCAAATCATTCTCATTCAAAATTTTGAATATTAATTAACTTTATTTCTAATGCAAAAAAAAAAAAAAAAAAAAAATCATCAGAAGTACATTATTTTTCTCAGATTGCTGAGATTTACTGAGATAAAATACTCTTCAATAAAATTCTACATTTTTGTTAGAAAAATTTCAGAAAATGATATACTGATTATTTATGCTGATCTCAAAACCTTCACTTTTCATAATGAAATTTTTGAAAGTGTAAGGTTATTCACACTCAGTATTAAGGCTGTAAATACTCTGTAAAAATATCAGATGAACTTAAATTTACTTGCATCATATTGCATATAAGGCAGATAGATTGTATATGCTTTTGTTCAAGCCTCTAATAAATGTAATGAAAATCATACAGCTGTTGTCTATTGTAAAGCTGACACCAAGGAAAGGTCATGATGACCCTATGTGTATAAAGAATCAAGTAACAATGCATATCAGGTCCTGCGGGGCAGTGATTACCTGACTGTTCAATTAAATACAGTGTATATCCACTTAAAGAATACACTAGCCAAGTCTAGGAGAAACAAGCTGAAGCCACAAGCAATAAACACTGACTTTAAAACATTCACAAGTATTTTTTTCCATTTTGAATAAATTTTTCCCATTTCTTTATATATGTATATAGGCAAAGCAACTTCCAAGGAGTAATAATTGCTTTATCAATAAGATAGAGTTGGATCATATAGGAAAAGAGCTAATTCAGATGAAAACATCAACAGACAAAATTTTCTTTATGAAAATATATAAGCAAATGAAGCAATAAAACTAGCTGGGAATTTTTCTTTCTGTAGAACTGGACTCATCTTTTCTAAATTCAAATACTAGTATATGTAGAAATACTATCCTACTCAGCGCTGCTTCATACCCACTTAGCGTTGTGTTTTTCCACCAGCCATTTTGGTAGAGCCCATCCCCAGGTTATGGCTGAAATGATTCATTCAATCACTTTATCTTTTTTTTACTTTATAATAACATAAAGACTGACATACCCACATAGAATTCTGCTTCTCCACAATCCACTTGGGCAAAGCTATACCAAATCTGGTGACTAAAAAAATTCTTTTCATACAGTAAAATTTATACTTATAAACCATTTTCAACTGTTCATTTGCAATATGCATTTCAAATAATATAATGAAATATTTAATAATTACTTAATCCACTTCTCTTTTTAATACGGGATAGTTAAATTGCAACATCTTAGATGAATCTATTTTGCTAGATATTGAACATGTTGAACTTGCATGCAAATTATATTCTGTAATCTTTTTTTTTAACTTTAAAGAGCGTCATTATTTAAACCCAGTATAAGCCAGTATCCACTGCCAGTAATTTTACCTCCTGGACCATCTGGATCACCGCTCTCCTCCCAAATTTTCCTCGTTTCTTCATCTGTCAATCTATAAATAGAAAAAGGTCAAACTTGTATACTTTTGTACTGGAAGACGTTTTGTAGACTTTGTGTATATCTGCAATTATTTCAGTGTTGGTGTGCTGAATTATTCAAAAGTACAGTGTGCACTGTGCATTAACAAAACTGGTTCAACTGTACTCTTCAAAATTTCCAGCAAAAGCATTATGTGGGCTATATAGGACTGTAATGGTTTGGGCTGTGGATATCGGCCTGGGTAGCTCAGTCGGTAAAGCACCTGACTAGTGATACAGGGGTCCTGGGTTCGATTCCCGGTCCAGCCATACATTTTCTCCTTTCCTATTACAAATTTGGTGCCATTGACCACCCCTCGACTTGCAAGTGAAAGTCCTGCCAGGGGCTGATAAGAACTTGGGTTGTGTCTTCGAGGGCAAAGACAATATAAGGAGGGAGGAATGTAATGGTTTGGGCCGTGGATATCGGCCTGGCGAACTCAGTCGGTAGAGCACCTGACTAGTGATACAGGGGTCCAGGGTTCGTTTCCCAGTCCAGCCATACGTTTTCTCCTTTCCTGTTACAGGACTAAGTATTTATATCAATTTTCTATTGAGAAAGTCATGACATACAGACATAAGTATTTTAAAGACTCAATGACCTGCATTCCAAAATGGTATTTATAAAAGAAAATACTGAAGACAAAAAATTTACACTAAACTTACGCTGTGTAGGCTTTGGCAATTTTCATGAACTTTTTGTGGTCCCCTGTAGGTTTGTCTGGATGGTATTTCAAACTTAGTTTTTTGTAAGCCTTCTTAATTTCCTCTTTTGTTGCTCCCTACAAATAACGTATCAGAGTCGTATTCATGAACTCTACAAATAATGCATGGGTACAAAACTTATACATTAAAAAAGAAAAAAAATCATTAAACAATGTTACAAATTGTACTTTAAAAAAATTGATCCAAGGAAAAATCTAACTCTCAAATTTCATAATTTATATGGATAAATAAGTCATGATTTTGACTCAAAGCCATTTTGCCAAGTTGATGATAAAGAAATGTTGAAATTATAACACCAATATAATTATAATAGTAATAATAGGAGCAATACTGTCATCAAAATCATGGCTTATCATTAATTCTTTTTTTAAATAAATTCATTTCTATTAATATTTAATACTTTAATTAAGAAAAGGACAACATTAATTTAATTTTTCAATAATATTGAGATTGTGTCTTCATGGAAGGCACATAATACAGAACTTGCTCTAAAGCAGGATTTCCCATCTGACACATATTTATGTAATTCCTTTATAAAAGATGCCACCTTCAGCTGGGACTTATTTAACCCTACAGGTAACCTTGAGGGGTGACTACACTCTGTTAAAATCTAGATTCAGTTAAAAACTTACAACATCCAGTCCAAGTTCAGCATATGGGTCATATTCCTGGTATTCTATATGGATCTGGGAAACTTTGTAGGCCAGTAGGGCAAATATTATCCAAGCTATTATAAATACCACTTTCCTAAAAAAAAAAAAAAATCAGCATTATCAATTTATATGACTTGCATCAGTAGCATGATTATAAGTTTCATCCCTTACTTTCTTCCATGTACGTTAACAAGTGCTCTATCTATAAACTGCAGGAATATGCTATAAATTTTAACTAATGAGAATGTATTCACAAAATGTAGAAATATGATAATTTTATCATATCAAAATGATAAAAAAGCATAAACTATAAGCCTCACCTTAACAATGGTTAACTTATCATCACTCTTCTGATGCTAACTACAGTCAAACCTTGCTATCTCAAACTCGATGGACCAAGAAAAAACTACCGGGTAAGAGATATCCGAGGATTCGAGATAACAGGGGTAATATACTTAAAGAATAAGTGGTTGGGACTATCAGATCACCTCAACATATCCCTGGTATTTGAGATATCAGTGTTTGAGATACCGAAGTTTAACTGTATATGATAATAGCAATAAATTCACTTACAAAACTTTCTCTTTCATTCTGTTCCATTTTGTGCTGGATTTTAATTGATGCCGTTTTATGACACAAGGATCACAATTACACTCTCTCTTCTTCTTATCTTTATCATCTGTACAGAAAAAAAATCAAAGCTTTGTAACTTAAGTATTTTCAGTGATGATTTCATCCTTTCTGTATCAGAATGTTTATATGCCATATAAACTTTAGCACCACAGTTTTAATTTTCATGATCTTTAGAATATTCTATCAAGAAACAAGTTTCTATGGTATGTTACCCTAAAGTAAGATGTTTTAAATTACACTTTTCACATCTTGTCTCTCACATACAGCATACTTAAAGTCATATCAGTCATATGGTAAATTCATTTTCCATGCAAGTGATGCAACCATCAGTACTTTACCGTTTGCTCACACCTAAGCAAATTAATTGCAAAATATTGATTCAACTTGTGAAACTTCAATACACATCCTGTGCATAATATTCTTGTCTCAGTATATCATCATAAAATAATATTCCAACAAAATATTTTTGTTTTTAATTTTTTTTTAAGAGCCTCCAAATTTTACCGTTTAGACAAAATGAACAGCTGTGTGTCATCAGCGACAGTTTCTTACCGTCTACAGATTTCCTGGGCCAAAAATAATACGTGGCGGGAATAAGAACGAGGCCCCATAGAGAAAACAAAAAATAGAAGAAGGTTCCTCCTTCCTCATCGTATTCAAATTGCATCCCAGGCATGTTTATGTCGGTTTCTGTCTACACAAACGTACACGTCTGTCTACACATCAAGCCGGAAGTAGAGATGATAGACGGTTTCCAGTCAGTTTGACCCTGCATCATTTCGAGCAGCAGTCACTTCCGCTTTCCTAAATCAGACATTAAATAAAGAATCGAAGGCCAGAATGTAAAGGACTGATGATACAAGCTAATTTTTTGTAAAAGTCATGACATATGTGAAAATAACAACTAAATCCATGTTAACATTATAAGTAAAATGAATGATCATTTTTCATTCGAAGTCCCACATTTATGTATCGCGATACTATTGTCGTTTACTAATTATTGAATTAGAAATTCATATAATGAGTACACGACAATGTACTCATTATATGAATTTCTAATTCAATAATTAGTAAACGACACTATATTAACAAAGTGATAAATTTTTATAGATTTATAAAGTTGATGTCAAAGAGAAAGAAATCTGAACATCACAGATGTCTACAATTTCTTAACAATATATAGCTGATATATATGCATTAAATAAGGACTTGATAAATAAATAGGTATCTTATTCAAAAATTAAAAAAGACGGTAGGAAGGAAAAACCTTTATTTTATTTCAACATTTTATTATTTAACTGTGACAATAAACAATATTTTATAAGATAAATAATGTTTACATCTTTTCTTTAAAAAAAAGGGCGGCTGATGGTGCCATATATTCCCTGCATGGGGAAACCGGTGGCAAATATATATGTGTTTTCTAAAATACAGGGGAAAACGGAGATACATGTATAAGGATTTTTAATAGAGAAACCAGAATGGTCTACTTCCAGAAAGTATACAACGTCAGAAAAATTTTCAAGGTCGGCTCATATTATTTAGGGTTGGTGGGGGAACGGGAAAAACATTATTTAATTTATTTATCTAGGCCTTATATACAAAGAAAATAAATGCCAAAGATATACCGATCCAGTATATCCATTTTTTAAAATAAAAAATTGGTAGCGTGTATCTTTAAAACAAGGATTGGAAAAATTACAATGTATGAACAAAACTCCGAAAGCAACAAATATTGTATATTTTTGATATTCAGAAATCTATTCGTAAAATTGCGTTGAAATCGACAGACACATTAAAAGGAAGACCAGTTTTTAAGCTAGTTTCATTCGAAAAGACGTGATTTTATTTTATTTATTTTTTCCCAAAAGGATAATGAAGACGAAATGATTACATTACTGATACATGTAAAATATAATGCAGATTAGAAAATATAATTAGGAAAAAAAATGTGTCGATCTCAGATTTAAAAAAGAAAACTTTTTTTTTTTTTTTGGGGGGGGGGGGGGAGTTCCATTCCCTGAGTGCCTTTGCTTGTTATTGATGTTCTTTACAATAAAATATCCCATATTACCATAATTCATAGAAATTATAGCTAATTCATCTGTTTAAAATATTGCAGAAATGAATAATGGAATTTCAAGGCAAAAATATTAAGATAAAATAAAAATATCAAAATATCCCAAGACAATGTTTTCTATATACTGCAGTGGTTGAAAATTTGTTTTAAAAAAATTCATTCCTAAACAAGAAACCTATTTAGTCATAGGCTTCATATATATGAAAAAAAATACTTGTCAAGTATCAAATATCAATTATGTTTAAAAAAAAATACAATACCCATCGAAACCTTAACAAGAATTACTTTAATTTCCTTAGAACTATACTGATACAAACGTACTTTCCCTTCGACATTATATAGGCTAAAGAGAGAGAGAGAGAGAGAGAGAGAGAGAGAGATTATTAAAGATACAAGTTTACGCGTTATTTAAAGACACACAAGCTTTAATTTTAGATAAGAGAACATGCAGTGACGTCTTTTAAATAACATTCATTTAAAACACTTCTTTGTTTTAAGTGCGTGACAATTCATCCGTACTGTGAATTTAAATAAGGGAAATGTGTTTTATTCAATATCTACTGAGAAAGCGAGAGTAAAGATTGATTTTTTGAAATATTTTTTCTCTCTCAACGTTCTCGAACTTCGGAATTGTGTATCCAAAAAACTGCCTGTATCTTTCTTTACGATATTTGTGCTTTTATTATTTTTCACCCGTATTTTCACTGGATTATCAAAATTGTGTGTCCGATGTTATCGATGTTTTGTTTACCTTGGGGATAAACAAGTGGAATGTTTGCGTGATTGTGTTTACCATACCAAGGGATACGTAGAAAACAGGGGAAAAAGACAAATAGAAGATTTAGCTTTAATGGACCATATGAAACAGTATATCTATTTCTTAACGAAAATCATGTATAAATCCTGCAGAGAATTAACCTGCATGAAAAGGAACGGGATACCAAGAATCGAACTGTTTTACATATGACAGGTGAAAATGCATATAATTTCTTTGTAACATTCATCTATTCATTTGTTCAAAGATTAATTGAATATCTTAAAAGTTTATAATTTTATTCATTTTCTTCCTTCACATTGTAGGAGTTGTCTAGTTACTTCGGTATAGCTCCCACATCTATATCTATAACTGTATCATCCTCATCATTTGAATATTTTTTGCCCCCCCCCTTTTCCTCCGTGTCTCTGGAAACAAGAAAATTCGTAAAAAATTAAAACAAGTGACTGTGCGTGGTAAAATTAGGAAGGGGGCATTGACTCATTCCCTCATCGTTTTGCCAAATATTTTACTCTACAATAATATTAATCGAAAGTTTTATGAAGCAATAAGTAAGTTATTTTGTACTAGCTTTAAATTTGATAAAGAATCGAACCCCCTCCTCCCTCAAAAAGATTTTTCCCAATACAATTTCTCCCGTTAATCTTCCATGTTAAGTTCTTTCTTTTTGCCTGCTAGCATGGCCATCTTAATGCTTCTATTTCAATCACAGATATCCGTCACAAATGTGATTCAGACGATGGGATGAAATATGGGTAGATGTTCCTCCAAACCCTGTTGTGAGATCACTGACGTCACAACTCTCCCCGAGACCCGCTTAATCAGCGTCCAACCAATCGTTGACGAGGATTTGGCACCAATCCCGCCCAGTCTCAGAAGAGATGATGTCATTTCCGATCTATCGATGTTCAAAAAAGTCGACAGTTACGCAGCAAAAGTTAGTGTATAACAAGTAATCAAGAGAATCTTGCGTAAGAATAGACAAATATTATACACGATTATATATAAAGTTTGAAAATATATGATACCGTACATATATACCCATTAAAGTTTACTCAAATACAAAAAAAAATGTTATAATTATAAACAGAATCAGCACACTTAAATTTCAAACAAAAATAAAGGAAAGACTTTAAAAATTAATTGAATGATTATTCCCTGGTCATTATGATGTTGCAGACAATATATATATTGAACTGTTTCATGAAGTTTTAAGTTATTGAATATATGGTTAGAACTTGCCTCCTCCATGACATTCAAAATTGTTCAACTTTTAATGATGAAATATGAGTTTTACGAAAGTCATGTTTAAATTTTGCACCTACCCCCACCTAATAAATTCAAAATTTACAACATGATAGAAGTCATCAACAAGGAAAATAAGTCTTTTGTCTTTTTTTCAAATTTTAAAAATAATATATACCCGAAGAGAAGGGAAAAAAAAAAGAATTTCATGATCAGTATACAATAAACCTCATAAAATAAACAACAAAATACAGAAAGCGGTCACAACTTAGAGAACGAATAATTTTTTGATGTTACAGGCTCCCAAGTCCACTGATCTTTCCGTCCATAACCTCGCTAAGTATTTGTCCAAGGCGTCTAAGACCAACCTGGGACGAGTTCGGGCCTTCTACCACTGGATATGTAACCATGTGGAGTAAGTCATCTATAAAGTATAGCAAAACTCTGTGTTTATCTGTTAAAAACTTAAAAGTGCTATGACTTATCATCTTAAAAATTCCCATCAAAAACCAAATTTTCGTGTTCAAAGAGAGATAACTTCTTACAACTACTTTGTATGAAAATTTAGAGTTACCTCTCTTTTTTCCACATTGATTGCAGGATGTTCGAAGAGAGGCTTTATATCTCCATGGTTACATCATCAACCTATGTCATTTATGCAAATGCGTACTAGAAGTTCATGCAGTTACTGATAATTTTCATTTTAGCTGCTTTCATTATCAAGGAATTTGTTGACTTATGTAACATCCATATGTATTTTACAGACTAGATCTTCGGTCCTTTCTCAATAACTATAAGAAGCCTGTAGCAGCTGAATTTACAATGCACACAAAAGTGGCCCTTTGCTATGGATACGCTGAACTGTTTGCGGAACTATGCAGGTATTCCTTTGTTTATACTAACATTAATTTTTAAATATACTACTGTATCGAATCTTATGAACATACCTCTATATTATGTATTTTGTTGGAAACATGTATATTTTCTGTTTATAGATTATCAAACATTCCCGTAAAAACTCTTTACGGATTTGTAAAAGGTTATGGATATAACGCAACTAAACCTTTTAAGTACACACAGCCAACCAATCACGCTTGGAATGCTGTTCACGTGATCGGGCAGTGGTGTTTGATTGACTGTACCTTGGGCGCAGGCCACGTGAATGATGACGGTCATTATACCAGGGAATTTGAAAACTATTACTTCCTTACCGATCCCGACCAGCTAATTTCTACCCATTTTCCATACATGGACAACAACAAGAAAGAAAGCAAAGCTTGGCAACTTCTTCAGAAACCTTTGACATTGCAAACATTTAATAAAAATGTAAAAAGGACGATCAAATCCTTCCAATGGGGCGTGGAACTAGTGTCTCATAGACAGGCTGTGATTCAGGTGACGTTGTCTGCCACCGTGTTTATAAAAGGGACGACGAGAATGTTAAACAATGTTGCAGCGCGTTTAACGGACACAGATGGCAATGTTCATAAACAGTATACGTTAGTGCAAAATCCAGACCAGAACTTATTTTCCATTCGAATACGCCCCCCAACTGTGGGAAAGTTCCGGTTGACGATTCTCGGAAGTGTTGACAAGAACGACACAACACTTTATGCGCTTGTGTCATACATATTGCGTTGTAGGCAAACAGAGCCA